CTAAGAGCCAAAAATATTGGCTTTAAAAATAGTTCAAAGTTAATAATATTAAGATAAAGTTTGGTAACAACCTGCATTATGGATGAAAATTTCGCAAGAAAAAATCCTGTAATCAAATTTACGTCTATGAGCGCTAACTACAATACACGTAAGGTAAACCTAAGTCACTTTTACTATAAATCTAAGGTTAAGAAACTTTCCCTAATATTGACAGCTATTATGAGACTGCGTTTAAATTGATCATTTGCTGTAAATTTGATTGGATCTCGTAGTCTCAGACATTATTAAAATCCATTCGCTTAAACTTGAGATTACTAAATACTGAAACACATTTTATATATAGTACTATTTGTTGGATAATAATGTTTTTTATTTGCAATTAAATGATAAAAAAAACCTCCAAAATTTGTATTCCATGTAGAATAAGAGGGAATCCTCAATAGCCGAGTCACTTGATATTCCTTTAGGCAGGATACAGTAAATGAATCTATGATACCTTTTTTATCCTTTTTATTAGCGTGGGGCGTACGTATACCCTATTCAATCTTATTACTCATCAGGATCTCTACCAGCCTAACTTCAAATTGAAATTATTTTAGACAAGATTAGAGTACATTAATCTTTGAGACCTTGGGTGCGATCAAATACATCGAATAAAAGGGTTTGACCCCCTGAGTCCAAAACTGTTTTGTTTTTTAGTTTCGCGCAAAGCTACACGAAGGCTATCTGCGCTAGCCGTCCCTAATTTAGCAGTGTAAGAATAGAGGAAAGGCAGCTAGTCATCACCACCCACCGCCAACTCTTGGGCTACTCTTTTATCAACGAATAGTGGGATTGACCGTGACATTATAATGCCCCCACGGCTGAAAGGGCGAGCATGTTTGGTGGGACGGGGATTCGAACTCGCGACGCACAGATTGCGAGTCGATTGCCCTAACTACCTGGCCATGCCAGGCCTCCAAAACTGTAGTTAGATCTCAAATCGGCCAAGATATGACGGAGGTATGATTTCAAAGTTTGTACTTAAAAAAACAACACACACACACACACACACACACACAATCTCAGAGCCGTTCTATGAACTGCTATGCTGCAACTAAAAATTAAAAATTGACTATTGTATTAGCAATTAATTTAAATCCTGTCTCGTTAATGATTTTTAGACCTAAGAATATAAAAAAAAAGTTAGTTTTGCATATAGTTTCATTTCAAAGTATAAAATTCGACAGCATTCCTACTTTCGCACATCATTATGATTATATTCATTGGCAGTACTCTTTAAATACTGTTACGACAGCGGAAGTCACGTGACCCTGGTAACACGTCATAAGATTTTCGAAGGATCTTGACTTTCCTGACAACTCTAGTCTGTTCTAAGCGCCCTCTTTTTTTTGTATATAAGCCCGGCAAATGATTGCAGATAAAGAGATATATACAGACAGATAATTGAGTCAAGCCAGCGGTAGTGACGGTAATATAAAGTGTGTTTTGTTATCGAGATTGCAAACGTATTGACTGTGGAAATTCTGTGTATTGCAAAGTTGTATTGAGAAAGAATAAACTAGTTTTATTTAAGAAAGGACTTGTATCGGTGAAGTTTCTCGGAAAGAATTTCTACGGGAAATTAACAAACAAGCAGATACGTAACAATACATTAAATGCATGCTTATTCAAAACGTACATTGTCAAGAAAATAAGTACAGTCTGACGGTGA